TGAAAAGAAGTTAATCTTCTCAATTTGCTGTTTTCTTGTTTAACCTGAGGGGTTACTCAATGGTCACAAGAATTTATGAGCTTGTTGTACAGAAGAAAAAGAATGCCTTCAAGGAAGTTACAATACCAGATAACCAGCCCCCAGCTGCCATTGAAGTCTAGAAGTGAGATTGCCCAAGGGCTTATCTGGAGTGAAAGAAACGTGGATTACCCCTTTGTTTCTCCAAAACTACTCCTGCCAAGCCCCTTAGCTCTATAAAACCCCCTGCTTTCTTCTCTTGTTAAGGTGGATCTGAGAGAACCTATCCTCCCACCTTCTCATTTTGGCCAATTCGAATAAACTTTTCTCCATCTCCAAGTACCAAGTCTCAGTGATTGGCTTACTGTGCATCCGGACACATGAATTTGAGATTAAGAGGTTTGGTATCAGGCTCAGATAATATGTTACAGAGACAAGAGGTGTGGGCTTTGGAGTCAGACAGATCCGAGTTTACATCCAGATTCATCCCCTGGTAGTCTTGTGACTTTGGACTGGCACCTCACTGTGGGTGCTTCACAGGAGAATGACATCAACTTCACAGGGTGGTTGTGAGACCCAACTGAAATAATCAGGCTACCCTTGGCCCACGGTGAACCCTCAATAAGTGTAGTGACCCCATCTACATCATGTCATCTATGCCATCTCTCCAGAAAGCCTCTGTTAAAACCCAAGTGGGGTTTAGGAGTGAGGCACATCAACAACATTATAGAATTGCAGAACTAGAAGGTAGCTTGTGGAAAACAGAGATCAGGGCCCTGAGAGCATGAAACCTACAGATGAACTTAACTAAGCCTGGGGCGGGGTCCCAAATCCAGGGTACCTCTCTGGAAGGGCAGACCTGGGAAAGTGCCACCATGAAGGGCAACAGGAGGACTGAGTCCAGGATGGAGGAGACGGTGCAAGAAGAGCTGGAAAGGGACCTGGGTTACAATACACTTCAGTGCCTCCTCAGGAACATGCTAGAGGATGTTTCTACACAATCCAGAGCAGGCATCAGCAAACTATAGCCCCTAGGCCAAATCTAGCCCCCTACATATTTTTTTCAATACAGTTTTATTGAAATGAAGCCATGCTAATTCATTTAGGTATTGTCTGTGGCTACTTTTGGGCTACAAAGGCAAGGTTGAGTAGTTGTGTTGAGTAGTTGCAGCAGAGACTGTCCGTCTTGTAAAACCCATGATATTTATTCTCTGGCCCTTCATAGAAAAAGTTTGCCAATCCTTGATCTAGAGGACTTCATTCACGTAAACTATAGTGATTAGGATCATGAAACTTAGAGTCAGACAGACCTGACTGTGATGTAAATGGTGCCACCCAGAACTGTGCAGTGCACAGCCTGTTCGACTGTAAATATCAGCCCCACCTAAGAAAGATTTCTTACAAGTTTTTGGATGCTCAGGAGAGGGAAGAAAGCAGCGTCTGTGAAATGTCAGCACCTCGCTGGGGGCCATATTTCCTGCTGAAAGTCAACAGCATGAGGTTTGGGTGGATCTGAGCAGGCAGTGGAGGTGAGTCTAAATTTAGACTTTCCAAAGCCGCTTTGTAAACCAGAGCCCCAGGAATCCCAGAAAGGGACAGTTGGCGCACACCATCTTGCTTCTGGTTTGCCTCCACATGTTAAAAGGCTGGATGTGTGGGAGGATAATTAACTGAACTCAAATAAGATATTGCTGGAGAGTCAGTGAGAAGTCAGTGGAGAGGTGAAGCTCCATTGTTAGGAGTCCTGGGGGTGGATATTTCTACTCCTGTCTTTTATTACGACAATCACCATGAAACCGTGAGAGCCTGGGCTGCCCTGGTAAGAGTTACATGTGTTTTCTTTGGGTATCATTTGAGCACAGCTAGACCAATGAACTTGCCTTCTCTCAAGGTGAATGCCAGCTCCCTGGTTTGAAATCACTCCTGTGATTCAGAGTAGGTTCGAATGGAGAAGGATTGCACTTTGCCCTGAGAAGCTGCATCACACCAACCACTGCTTTACTCACTCCTCTGCCCAGGCAGGCACATCAGGTGTTGGGTCTGCCCCTCTCCAGGGCTGATGGGCTCACACCCATGCAGGAAATGAACCACTCACCAGAGACTTCGTAGATAATAGGTGTTTCATAAACAGTCCAACTGTCGCGAAAGGCAAAGCGTTTACGGTAGAAATTATAGAAAGAAACTTAGAAAATGAGGAGGTTTGAGAAGAGATGAATAACAGTACACTCATGTGGGAACAGAGAAATGGTCAGATGAGGGCCTACTGGTTAGTGTTGAAATTCTAAGAAAGGCAGCATCTAAGCAGAAGATGTTTCTAAGAGGGTTGAAGTTCAGAGCTATTGGTTTGTCTGAGTGGTTGGGGCTTGTGGTGGGAAGAGCCCTGTTGAACAAGTTGCATTAGAGCAGTAAGATGGGGTGGGGGGAGGCTGACCATCTAGGAAATGTGGGCATCCAATTTTGTAGACATAACAAATGTTCCTTAGGTACTTCCAATCCACAGTTATTTTCTAAGCACTACTTTGTGCCCTGGACTTGAGAAGCTTAAAGTCTAGTTGGGAGGTGGACATGTATAAAAAGTTAAATAACAGCCAGATTAGTATATGGTAAATGTCAAACACAGTAAACATGAACACCAGAGTTTAGAAAAGGGAGAAATGTCGCTGAGACTAGGATGGGTGCTTTAGAGAGGAAGTGAGACTTCATCTGAATTCTGGATGATGGGCAGGATTTCAGCAAGTAGAGAGGAAGCAGGAGAATGTTTCAGGAACTGGGAAGATTCAAGCAAAGAAGCAAGGCAGGAATTGAAAGAGTATATTTAGAGGCCCGTGAGGAAGGTTGTTGGCTGGAATCGAGCCTTCCCAAGGTGACATAGTACCTGCCCACTGAAGCTGACAGCACATTGGGAAGACCACTGAGACACACACACACACACACACACACACACACACACACACACACACACACACACACACACACACACAAGGGAGACAGTCCCTCCTCCACATGAGAGGAAAAGGAAAGCGTTTTAAAGATAAATAAAGCACCTCTTAATTATTCACAGATTATCTGCATTGCAGCTGATCTCAAACAAATCCTGCTTTCAGCTTACTGGTGATGTCATCTGCTCCCTGCTTAGGTGCTCATTCCTGTCTCGGTTTGCAAGCCAGTGGGAGCTGGAAAGGGAAGAAGGCTTAAGCGTCCCTCTTCATAAATCCCCTGTTTGCTATGCCCTTGGGAACAAGACCAGGCTTATGAGAGAAAGTGAAAGAAGCTCCAGTTTAGTTTCCCTTACCTGATGTGGGTGGCAGGAGTCAGAAGAGGGATGGAATGGGGTACTGGGGGGCTCTTTTGTTCCCTGAGTTAGGTATCCAGGTGGACTTCACTAGCACAGGCCATAGACTATGGCTCAGTGGGTGGTCCCAGCACTGTCTCCAACTGGCTAGGCATCCTCAAACAGAGTGAAGGGTATTCATTTATCTATTCATCAAACATTTATTCACACTGTCTATGCTGGAAGCACTGAGCTGGTGCTCTCTGAGCCTCACTGCCCTCATCTGCAAAATGAGGACTTAGACTAGAATCATTGTCTGTCAGTGGAAGTGCCGTTGGTGTTTGGGGATGGGTGTCAATTATTCACTGATGGGGATGCTCAGCAGGATGGTTAGCAACTCTCGCCCTGCCCATTAAAGTCCAGTAGTGACTCATCAAATGAGCCAAGGAGGGCAGGACCATTCCCAGTTAAGGACCACTGGACTTGTTTGCTACAGTTGCTTCCCAATCTGAAATTCTGTAAGTCTATGATTATTTTGCTGCTGGGCCCAATAAAAACATGCAAAGTAGAAATGCTAAAGATCTGATGAAACCCCAGAATAGTAGGTACATCTTATTTAAGTGTAAGGGAATTTTTAACAATGGCAACAACGAGTAATATCTGTTGAACAATTACTATGTTCCAGACGCTTGGAAAATTTCTCTCATTAGAAGTCTTTAGGGGGGATCTGATTATTTACTACTATTTTAGATCATCTGTGTTATTTAATTTGCCCCCTTAATTTCAGAGCATTGAGTTGACTGTTATTTTGCATCATTTATCATTTACAGTGTTGTGCAGAGTTCAGACATGAAAGTATCCCTACAAAGGGCCCTATAGTATAATGCGAATTAAGAAGCAGCCCCAGCTAGATTCATTTCTTTGTGCCAGATACAGTGTTTATTCTGTGTATGTCAATGAACTTAATAAACTTATAAAACCTGCCACTCCCTTAGAAGCTATGATATTGCCTTTACTTGGGAGGTTGGAATTTCTATTGCTAGTTTTGCAGTCCCCACCCGCCCCCCCCGCCCACACTTAGGTCCTGTGCCTGTAATTTGAGGCAGCAGCCACCAGGGGGCAGTTGGGCTTGGCTTTGAGCCATTGCTTTGAAGAGCTGGGTCCCCATCATCAAAAAAGAATATAGTTCACCATGCCAGGGCTGGCGTCATGCTAAGAAGTCTGTGCCTTGGTTTGCTGGCAGAGAGTTGCTTTTTTAGGGTGGCAATATAATTTCCTTGTAATTTGTTATGTGTGCTTATGCCACCTACGTGGAAAGCAAGAGATACAAATGTAATTAAATCTCAGTGCATGGCAAATTCTCTCTTAAAATATTCAAAGATATTTGCAAAAGAAGGAAGAAAAGGGGTCTAAGTGGAAAAACAAGATTACTGAACCTTTATTTTCTGTCTGCAACTAGTTACTTTTTTCTCTCACATTTCTCAGCTAGGGGTGACGTGTGTTTGAAGAGCATAATGTATGAATTTTGCAAAGGTCAGAGCTGATCATTCCCACCCACAATTTGTGCGTGTTAACCTTCGGGGATCAGGCATTTACATAAAAGGCACACCATTTGATGGTCTTATCAAATCAGTTTGATAAGACCTCTCTTTTCCAGGGGAGCGCTGCACACAGCAGGAGGGGTGGCTGGGCAGTGCAAAGCCTGGAATCCCCTGAGCAAGCAGTGTTTCAGCTGGCTGGACAGATCAAATAACACTTGGGCTGGTTAACAAAAGACGCACAAGTGGAAAGGTGTTGGAAGCTGGAGTGTGGAAATTTACCCAACGTTATTTCTTTGACAGGGAAGGAGACTTGGTCTGAAAGATGCAGCCTTCCTGCACCCTCACCGAGTCCAGCAGAACACAGTCTCATTCAAGGTGGCGTGGATGAGGGAGTGACAGAGGATGCTGCCCCCATCTGAAGACTCCGGAGGATCCTGGCCTGGCAGCTGAGCTCCCCGCGGCTATGGGACATCAGGTGTCACTTGGTGTAGAGCTCATGAAAGGTGCTTGAGTTTCTCCAGCTTTCTTTACCAGTGCTCAGCAGACTGGTTTGGGTCTCGGAATCTAAGATGAACTGGTAGAAAGGGGAGCTGGCAGAGATGGAAAGAAGCCTCCAGAATCCATGATCAGAATCCCTTCATACACCTTGGGACAAAGCAGAGAGCAGCTAACAAGCTGCTGGAGGCTGTGATACAACTGTGCTTTGGACCATCATAGTAAAGGAACACAGCTCAGCAACAGCTTCACGTTTCAGCCAGAAGGAGCCTCTTCTATCAGGGATTTAAATAGGGGAGAGTTCCTTCATCTCTACTCTGAGGTCCATTATGATAGAAAACTTTACATTCATATAGATAATGAGACCAGTTTTTCCTTCCAAGATGCTATATTTGAAAGAAGCATGAGCCATTCGAAGCTTCCAGGAGGGTTCAGGATACGCAGGAGTTAGAGGACAGCCTCCCCAATGCAAGTTAAGAAGACAGTTTGAGCCTCCAACTTCTGCAGCTCAGCAAGTGTAGACATATGCCACTCTTGTTTCCAGAGAGCTGGTGGCAGTGATATCTCCAGAAGAAAAATCTTCCCTCAGCTTTGGGACTTGACAGAATGAGGTGTGCTGGGGAAGCCACTAGCTGTACCCTGGCCTTTCTTGACTGCCCCTTCGTCATTCGGGCAGCCCCTGACCACTGAGCCAACGATGGCTGAGAAGGGTGACTGCATCGCCAGTGTCTACGGGTATGATCTCGGTGGGCGCTTCGTTAACTTCCAACCCCTGGGCTTCGGCGTCAATGGGCTGGTGCTGTCGGCCGTGGACAGCAGGACCTGCCGGAAGGTGGCCGTGAAGAAGATCGCCCTGAGTGATGCCCGCAGCATGAAGCACGCGCTCCGGGAGATCAAGATCATCCGGCGCCTGGACCACGACAACATCGTGAAGGTGTACGAGGTGCTGGGGCCCAAGGGGGCCAACCTGCAGGGCGAGCTGTTCAAGTTCAGCGTGGCCTACATCGTCCAGGAGTACATGGAGACCGACCTGGCACGCCTGCTGGAGCAGGGCACGCTGACGGAGGAGCACGCAAAGCTGTTCATGTACCAGCTGCTCCGCGGGCTCAAGTACATCCACTCCGCCAACGTGCTGCACAGGGACCTGAAGCCCGCCAACATCTTCATCAGCACGGAGGACCTTGTGCTCAAGATTGGTGATTTCGGGTTGGCAAGGATTGTTGATCAGCATTATTCACACAAGGTATGTCTGGCTGGAGTGGCTGATACGGGTGGTCCATGGAATCCTCAAAAATGCTCAGAGTGTTCAAGGGGGTACGTATTCCTAGCTCCCTGGGAATCAGAGGACTGGGGTCAGTATTTGAGGGAGGCTGGAGGGTGTTAGAAAGATCACTAGCCTGAAAAGTTGTTGGGGGTGTTCTGGTTCTTAGTCTTGGCTCACCACACGGCCATGACCAATAACTCCAGGCTGCACAAGAAGGGGTAGGACTAGATGATCTCTAAGATTTCTTCCAGCTCCAAACCCTATGCTTTTAAAATTGTCTTGTTGGTGAATTTGTCTCTAGCATCCTCTTATCCCTGCCATCTGCTCAAGACTCCACTGAGGATCCTCCCCATATGAGCCTTATGCTCCAGTTCATCTCCCCTCCTCCTCCCATCAAAGCTGGTCCTTTCTGGGTCCCATTCTCTCTGTCAGTGAGCAGGGGGCATGAATAGTTAATCTGATCAACTAATCCTCAGTGTACATTATCCAGGTAATGGCTCATCTCTCCCAGGTCCCTGATGCCCTGGCCCCTCAGTGTGATTCTAAAGCTACGGGTGTCTAGACGGTTCTGAGACCCCATGTTGTGGGTGGCTAAATTCTCCACCAGCTGCAGAGATCAGAGCTGACCCGGCCACACAGTGGAGATACTGATACTAGTTCTCAAGGCCCCAAAGCTCTTCTTACCTAATCCACTGCTCCCTTCAGGAGCTGGGAGTCCTCTGAAATTCTATTCTCCTACCCCTGGTTCCTGCCACTTTAGGGGAGCACCTCAGCCTGAGCACACGTCACCAGGCACTCCTCAATATAGCTGAGGATGGATGTCATTTCCAGCCTCCTGCCAAAGCCTTTGTACAACAGATTTCTTTATTAGAATAAAAACATCCCCTAGGAAGTAGGTGCCCCATAAACTGTTATCAGCCAAGGAGCTGGGATCATCAACTGGAGGGTAGCTCTGACCTTCAACAAGCCTCAGCTTTCTTTTTGAGACCCCATTCTCCTGATTTCCCTTGCCACCCTATTTGCCTGAGGCTAGAAGGTCACAGATGCACGGAAAGACACTGGCCAGTCTGGCGCAGCTGCAGGGGGAGGGTGTCTAGGCAGGGGTGGCAGGGCTCCCTGTCCCATCCTCACTGGCTAGAACTTGGGCTTTGGCCCAGATTTCTGACCTCAAATCAGCCCAGCTGCCTCTAGCTCCTTGGTGCCGCCTTAATCGTGAGCTTGCCCTCTGCCTTCCTCCCGCAGCAAGGCCATCTGTCAAAACTGACAGCTGACTCTGTGGGCAGGAATGTCTATAGTAAAAAAACAAAAAAACAGTGCCCCTCTCTGTCTTCCTAATGCCCTGTGCTGTTTCTATCTTCTCTTTCTTCTAAGGAGCAATGACTTGAAACAATCAAACCAAAAGTTTTAACCCAAATCAGTTCTTATTTGGTAAAAGGACCAGAGAATCCACAAAAGTCTTGTTTCTGGGATGCACAAAACCACTTTCTGAATTGGAATAAACTAGTACATTTGGGAATAATAATAGGACCTCCCTTGATGACAGGGTCTGATTAAGTGAAGGATTACAGGGAAAGTGCTCAAAACAGCACGTAGCAGGCCTTCAGTAAAGCCAGGGAAGGTGGTTAGCTGGGGCAAAGATTGGCTATAGTAATAATCTCTAGGAGATGATATGGTGTGAGGAAGTGATGCTGTGTGAGGAGGCGAAGGTGCGGGCTCCCTTCTGATGGTGCTAGCTTGGGATGTGGACACTCACCCTCTGGGAGCCTCAGTTTCCCCATCTTTGACAGAGATGGTAATAAGTGCCCTGTCTGCCCCACTGGCTTATAGTTATGAATCAAAATGGAGCATTACTATAAAGCCCCTTGGAAAGTAGTAAGAACCCCATCCATTCATTTCATGAGTGTTGCTGAGCACACACCGGTGTGCTCCCAGTGCTGGGAGCCAGGAGGAGACCCAGGTTCACCAACCACTGACCGTAAGTGGCTGTTATCCTGTTATTCAGGGTGGGAAGCCGCTTGTTCAGTTAGGACTTTCATTCTCCTGATGCAGAGGAATTTAGATGTTCTGACTGACTCTTCTTGTGCTCTCTTCAATAAAATTAGTCGTGGGAGGTTAAAAAAATCATTGGAGCCAGTTATGAGACCAGTAGGTGTTCACATCAGCCCTGGTTTGGCAGGCACCACCCGCCCCACCCACTTCCTCCCTCATACACTTTCTGCTTTTAGCTTCCTCCCCACTCTTCCCTGAATGATGACGAAAGTCTTTATATTTGGTGCTTTTTTTAATCTGATGTGCACTTAAATCAGTTCTCATTTAATCCTCATAATGCTATGAGGCACTTAGGGCAAATGTTCCATTTTAAAATGGAAAGAACTGGGTTTCTCAAGGTTACCTGGCTGTGTTCTCCTAGAACTTGGGCCTTCTAGCATCCTGATGGATGGTCTCTCTGTGCGCCATCTCCTTCATGAAGGCTTTCTGGATCCCCATTTGGAATTAATCTTTCCTTCCTCTGAATTACCATGTTGCTTTTCCCCACCCCATAACCTGGATCTTCTAGCACCGACCATTCTCTGCTCTCTTCAGGGTATTTGTGTCTCTGTCTTTTGTGCTCTCCTAGGCTGAGAGCCCCTTGGTTCTTAAGGGTCATGTTCATCTTGGTTTCCCCCAAGGAGTCTAATCACTGTGCCTGAGACATGGCACAGTTGGTTTTGTTGACCATCCTGAACAGATGGAAGAATAGTCATTTACCAGCACAGTACAGATAGGAAGCTAGTTGGGGTCATTGATTCTGTGTGGTTAGAAGGTTTAACTCGCAGAGAGAGAGCACATAATTCTTCTAGTCAATGGATTGATTGGAGTGAGACAGGTGCATCTGCTCTCCCCAATGTGCTTGGAGGATGATGACTACATGCCAACCGCTCTAAACTCAACTCCCCTAAAGTTTTATGGGTCCTGTACTTGCCTTGAAGAAGATTGTGCTCACTTGGGCCACAGCTAGCGCCTTTGTGTGAGTTACAAAAAAGGCTCTCCTTTTTCCAGGCCAATTCAGACCAGGGCCAGGGATAGGTTTCAAGATCCAACTGGGGGCTGGACCCAGCCCCTTGGCCAAGCTCAACCCACCCAGCACTATGCAGCAGCTGGGTTCTCACTCTCCTCATCGTGACTTGCTCACAAGTAGACAGTAAGTCCCCTTCACTTCCTCATCCCCTCATCTAGCACAGGACGTGGCGTGAGGTTGGTGCCCACGCCAACCCACCAAACCCATGCTCTGATCCTTCACAGGTTTGGTGAAGGAGGTGCCAAAGGAAATGGTCTTCTCCTCTCTAATGAGCAGCTGGCAGGAGTGGGGCTTCCATTCATAGGGAGCACTCTGGGCTTGTGTCCCCCTACCACACCACTCCTAGGAGTCTTGGTCTTTTGAGGTCCAGAGGGCAACTAGAGGCCCCAACAGCCCACACTGTTGGTGAGATGTCAGTGGTGGCACTGGGGGTGCTCTGATGGCTCTTTCTCAACAGAGATGGCGTGGGGAGCACTGGTCTCTCCGTGTTGTTATGAATCACCTCACTACTTGCATGACCTCAGGCAAGTCCTTTTCCTTGTGTGGCTCATTCCTAGAATAAGAGATCTGTAAGAAGACCTCACAATCACCTTGTCCATCCCCTTCATTTCACAGATGATAAAACCGAGGCCTAGAAAGGGGAAGAGACCTGCTCAAGGTCACACAATGGGTGGCTGAGCCAGGAGTACAATGCACGTGTTTCAACTCCGTGTCCACTGTTTTTTCTGAGCCTCACTTCTCAATTGTCTTATCTGCCAAATGAGGTTCTCATTCCTATTCTGCTTATTTCATAGGATTCTTGTTAGAGTCAAATGAAAGTGGGGATGTCAAAGTGCTTTCAGACTTACAAAGGGCTAAATCGCTAACAGAACTATTTGCCCAAGGGATTCCATAGTAATACCAGGCAGACACCTCGATGTCAGTTTCCCCTCCACTAAAATATGAAACCAACTCCCGACATAATGACCAAAGTCAGGAGGCCCTACCTGAAGGGTGGCTTCCCAGCCTGTGGTCCTGTTAGGAACCCCTTTCTGTCTGCCTCCTCAGTAGGCCCGCTAATTAGTTCCTTGTTGTTTGTGTCGAGAAGAGGCAGCTGAAGGATCAGAGCATGTTTTCCTTTGAATTTATCCTATTAGGGAATAGAGGATCTCAAAAGAGGGAAAAAAATGTAGTTGAACACTGAGTTCTGTGTAAATTCTAAGACATGTCAAGAGCCCCTGGGAGAATGTGCAGAGGGCTGAGCAGCACATTGACAGCTTGATCATCTGTGTGAACACTTCCCTCCAGGAAAAGGCCACCTGTGGCCGGGAGAAGGAACCGCCTTTTGTCTTTGCCAGGGCTGCCAGGAGACTGCCAGCAGACTTGCATTTCCTGAGGGCAGTGGGCAGAAAATACCCAGCAAAGAAAGCATGAGGAAGAGGCCCATCAGAGTTTGGGGCAACCAAAAGCTTTTGTGTTTTGCTGGATCGTTCCAGCAAGTCTAAGTTTTCTGCGAGGCTGTCCTGCCTTTGGGCCCTGACCTCTTTCTACTTTAGAACCCCGTCTTCTTACCTCATTCATTATCGGAATGCTTCCACACTTTACCTCCATATCTCATGAAGTTTCCTTAGAAATGAACTAGTATGGTGGTTCTCCAGGTGTGGTCCTGGCTAGCAGCATCAGCCTCACCTGCGAACTTGTTAGAGATGCACATTCTTAGGTTCTGTCTCAGACCTACTGAATCAGAAACTCAGGATGGGGCCCAGCAAGCTGTGTTCTAACAAGCCTCCAGGTGATTCTGATGCTCATTAACGTTGAGGAACCACTGGTCTGAAGACATGGAATAGCTTGTCCGTGGACAGAAAGCTGCCGCTGTGTTTGCCGATCCTTGCAGCTGTGGTTCTCAAATTTCAGCACAATGAAGAAGGCTAAGGACGCCTCC